CAGTTCATGCCAGTGTTTGTGAGGGAGATAAAAAATACTCATTTCAGAACTTTGGTTTTGGGGTTTTTCCCCTCACGTTTACATCGGAACCTGACATTAGTTTGGCAAGATTCTGTCTATTGGTGAGGAACAATAAAGGAAACTGCTCAGAACTAAGTTTCTGTGTCTTTCTTAGGGCCTGACAATCATGAATCTCTTTTGGTGGGATTAACACAGGATTCTTTGACAGGGTGGCCTTGTCCAATTGACACCAGAGCAAGCAAAAGGCCCACAGGGAAAGTGGGAGAAAGGGGCTCCTTCAATCTCTGTTTCCTTAAAGATTAGCAAACAAAAGAATATTGATGCTTTTTCAATACTAACATACAGTAAATGTGTAGAAAACATTGTTTGGACTTGTGCATAATTTGTAGAAGGAAAATGGATGTTAAAAATGGAAAACGTGAGGAAGTAACTTGAGGTGACCATTAGAAAACCAGATGACATGCAAACAGCCCACCCTTGCCAGATGTTATTGGGAGAATGCAATTCTATAGATATTCAGGCCTTGGACCATGAATGTTGTATTCTCTAGTTTAATTGTGCTATGGCTTTTATATTTTTTATTTTGTGTCAATCACTGTGGGTGATGCAAATTTGGTCTACAAATATACGAAATAAAACTCTATAAGTTCTGCATTTATTCTAGCGCCACCAGCTTTTCCTACGATTAGGTGGAGTGTGCAAAATATACCATCCTAGAAAATATCTGGATGGGGAGATACAAACGGAATGTTTTAGGTCCAGGAATGAGAGGGAAGCTCTCTCTCTCTGTGCACATGTGTAGCAGGGGTGGGTTCATCTTACCTTTACTACCAGTTTGCAACGGGATTGCATGAGCAATTGAAGTATTTCAGATAGCATTAGAGGGAATCCCCACCCCTTGCACTTTTATGTTGAACTGGTCTCATGAGGTTGGAGAAAAGAGGTTTTACAATTCTTTCAAGCCTCATGAAAGAGCGTTTGTCCTTTTTACAATCCTTTCTATTTGGACATTGGAGAAATTCCCTGAGATGATGTGATGTTTTTCCACATGCTTAGTGAGAGAGAGGAATTGAAGGTTATCTATGAATAGCCTGCTTTTTAAAAATTATTGTCTGTTTGGGGTTCAATGGAAAGCATTCAGAAGGGGCATCGGCTATAGGGCATCTGACACTTGTTTGCCATTAAGGCTCCAAAGCCTCAATTGCCATCCTAACCTCCTTCCCTCCCTCCCTCCCTCCCTCCCTCTTCTCTCTCTCTCTCTCCCTCTTTTTCTCTTTCCCTCCCTCTTTCTCTTCCACTCTCTCGTCTGTCTGTCTGTCTGTCTGTCTGTCTGTCTGTCTGTCTGTCCATCCACGCATCCACCCACCTCTCTATCCATCTATCCATCTATTCGTATCCAACTATCTGTATCCGTCTATCCATCTATCCGTCTATCCAACTATCTGTCTATCTGGTATTTCCGGTTGGGTCTTATTTTCAGGGAAACAGGGTAGACACATCCAGGCATGAGAACATCTATGCCTACAAGAGGCAAAAAAGCAGGTCTAATTTTAGCCGAGGGCAGGATAGGTAATCCTTTTTTATCTGACATATTTCATTGGAGGGATTAGGGACTCTTAACTTGTTGCCAAGATTTGTCTGATAAGGTCATTAGGAAAGAAGGTAGCATTTAGGCATTTATGTGAAGCAGCTACAGAGGGTTTGGATATAACAATGAGGGCTGTAACTTGATCCCTTAGGGATCCATCTTATATGTGGGTGTGAGGATTAGACAGAGGGACAATCTGGTCCATGTTATCAGGTAAAAAGGGAGAATCTTCTTACGGTGGTAATTACCGTCTAATCCCACCCATTGATTCTCCAAGTTTCTTTCTTACAACTTATCAAGAAATCTTTGCTCTCTTTTCATGACTGTCAGAATTGCAAAGCCAAACATTTACTCCTGTAGTTCCGAAAGTACCATTTTTTAAAGCATTTCTGCATTCATTTTCATCATTAACATGATTTATGTACTGCTCATTTTTTTAAAAAAATTGGAGGCTGTTTACAATAATTAAAAAAACAATGATGAAAAAAGATGATTGTGGAATACAAGCAAAATAAAAAGTAAGGGTGAGTGGGTTGTTAATGGCTAGAGAAGGCCAATAGAAAAAAAGAGAGAGGAGATTTTTAAGAGATACAACAGACTAGAAATTAAGACTGTTGGAAGTCAAAGGAAGGAATATAAAGTTGGTTTATTTGACCAAGGTTAAAACAAGATATGCTGTTACTTCTGGCTATCCTTTATGGACTATCTGTTGACAGCAGGACTGAAAAGATAATGTTTTATGGATTTTTTAAAAGATAAGAGATGGAATATAGAATGAAGAAATAAGTGTTTGTAATTTAGAGACCATGAAGAGTTAACAAATTTGTTTCTACTTGTGATAAAGGTTGGAAGTCACTTCTTCCTTTATTTCTTTTCTCTTTCCTTGTTGTATTTTTACTTTTCTTTTTCTTCTCTCTTTTTCCTTACACATTTTGAGCCTTTCTATTATCTTTTCTCTAAGCTTAGTTTGCATTAGATTTCTTTCTATCCATCTCTCCCTCTCTCTCTCTCTCTCTCTCTCTCTCTCTCTCTCTCGCTCTCTCTCTCTCCCCTCTCTCTAGCTATCTCCAGGTGGAGAGACATCTGCGAAGAACTAATTTAAGTCATTTGAAGAGACTTTGTAAATAATAATTAACTGTCCATACTGAGACTGGAAAATTCCTATTGCAGTTTCCAAAATTTCCTGTTTATCTCACAACTAGCATTAAACACAGCTTTTTAAATTCTGTATAGCTCATGCTTTCTTGGTCTTGATTAGATATGTAGACACCATTACAGATAGTCCTCGACATACGACCACAATTAAACAGTTGTTTAAGTAAAACATGCCCCATTTTACAACCTTTCTTGCCACAGTTGTTAAGTGAATCACTGCAATTAGTGACCTGGTTGTTTGAAGTGAATTGAGCTTCCTCGTTGACTTTGCTTGCCAGAAGGCGATCGCATGACCACTGCAACCGTCATAAATATGAGTCAGTTGCCAAGCATCTGAATTTTGATCTAGTATCCATGGGGATGCTGAAACGGTCATAAGTGTGAAAGTCACAAGTCACTTTTTTTCAATGTTGTTTTAACTTTGAAAAGGTCACTAAATGACCTTTTGTTGTAAATTGAGGACTCCCTATATTCTAAGATGTAGTAATATCTTTAGACATTATGCCCCAGCTAGATGGGGTGGGCAATTTCTCTACATTTTTTTCAGGAGTAGGTGAACTTTGCTAACCATCTCTAAAGTAAGAATTCTCCCTTGGAAATGACTGTGATTAGATATGGAACCCATGGAAGAGTTATCCAGGTCTCCCTCTCCCTGGTTTGGGATTGAGCCGAAATTTAGATACAGATACAGATTAACAGAGTTGGAAGGGACTCTGTCCAACTCTCTACCCAAGCAGGAGACCCTACACCATTTTTGACAGATGGCAGTCCAGGCTCTTCACTTGAGCAAGGAAGGATGCTGCAGACCCTTGGCGAGAAGGTGGCATCCTGAAAGAGAAAAGCCAACAGTTTGATATTATACCTAATAAAAACAGTTCAGATTTAAAATCTGCATGTTTTCACTATCATCCTTTTTAACCACTTATGTATTTTTGCCCATTTTTTTTTTTGCTTTTACACAAGTCCACCACATATGATAATAAGTGCCCGTTTTTTTGGTTACGTTTTTTTCAACATTTGCTAGACATATTTTTAAGCATTTTAGCTAACCTAGCAGATGGTAAGTGCTATCTATAAAACATTTTACACACATTTTCTTGATAAGAAGGTGCCATTGTCAATTTATAGTTCCTTTCCCATGTTGTTAGTTGCAAAGTCGTGTCCAATCTATCGCAACCCCATGGACCACATTCCTCCAGGCCTCCCTGTCCTCTCCCATCCTCTGGAGTCCATTTAAGCTCACACCTACTGCTTCAGTGACTCCATCCAGCCACCTCGTTTCTCTGTTGTCCCCTTCTTCTTTTGCCCTCCATCATTCCCAGCATTAGGCTTTTCTCCAGTGAGTCCTTCCTTCTCATTAGGTGGCCAAAGTATTTGAGTTTCCTCTTCAGGATCTGGCCTTCTAAAGAGCAGTCAGGGTTGATCTCCTTCTAGGACTGACTGGTTTGATCCCCTTGCAGTCCAAGGGACTCAGAGCAGGAGTCTTCTCCAGCACCAGAGTTCAAAGGCCTCAATTCTTTGGTGCTCAGCCTTCCTTATGGTCCAACTTTCACAGCCATCCATTGCAATTGGGAAAACCATAGCCTTGACTATACACACTTTTGTTCCTTTCCCATAAATTTTGCCATTTCTCTAATTCTATATTATAACCAAAGGTTTTTTTTTACCCACTGTGTCATTGTGTCTTTTACTTGTCCATCCTCCATTTTCCAGTTTAGTAAAAAAAAAAATTATATATTTTCTTAATTCATTTTTCATCAGAGTTCAACAATATCTGATCAAAGTGTTTGTCCTTTATAAAAAGCCATACTTTAAAAAAAAAAATTAGGTATAATATCACAGAAAAGCGAAGAGTCACACCCCTTCCACTCCATCCCTCAGCTTTGCCTCCATAAACTTATCTAGTTGACATATTTCTCTATTCTCGGACAATAAAATATTCTGCAGGAGTATTTCCCTGCTTGGCACTAGTAGTTCCTCCCCTCTGAAGACTAGTAAAGAGAGACCCAGAATGGCCGATGCATTAAAAGCGCCTTCCTTTTCTAATATGGGCTATTGTCTCTCCCCGCCATCCTCCCACGCTGAGCACCATCAATTTCCTGACGAAGTTCAAGGCTGCACATCTGCTATAATTCCCTGCCTCATCCGATCTGCCAGCAGCCTCTTTGTCACTCCCCCACCCACCCACCCACAATCAGCTGAGTGGGTGGCGTGGGAGTGGATCTGACAACGGGGGAATCTCCCTTTTTTGCTCTCCAGTGAGTGGCTGGACTTCCTCCTCCCTCACTTTTCCATCTCGCCTTACCTGGTCGCGCATCCTCAGTGGGTTCAATCCTCTCCCAGAGATTTACTCCTCCTAATCTCTCTCTCTCTCTCTCTCCCCACCCCGCCCCGGCTGCTCCATCTGAACAGCCGACGGCTGAACAAACAGAAGGAGAAACAACCGAGGAACAAATGAACGGACGGGTTGGCTGTCAGGCAGGAGGCATTTGCTACTTTGGGTAAGAAATATTTCTTCTTTTGTGAGCTGTATTGCTTCTTTTTCTCCTTTTTTTCTGCACGAGCGCATCAGGGGTAGCAGGGACTGGAAAAAATTTGCTGAGGCAGCAGGGTGGAGAGATGCAGGAGAGATTTTGCCAAGTCTCTAAAGATCCTCCAGAAAATGGTTTGGATAGCAAAAAAAACATATAACGGGGCTTTAAGCTGATATCTGGTCAAAGCAGGCAGTTTGGACCACAGTTTTCAAACGGCTCCAAGTGTATCTGGGTTTTGAGACAGCCGATGGGTGTGTAATTTGAGGCTTCCCTGCTACTCGCTAAGGACTGCTGCACAATGCGTTGAGATGCCAGCACCAGGCTCTTAAAACTAGGATGCTGCAATTTGGTGCATTTTGTTAGCAGCTCAATGGTGGAGTTTAGTGAATGCCTTGGCGAAAGGTCACCTGTTAATCTCGGCGACAAAATGCCACAAACCTGTTTTTCTTTTAAAGACGAATAAACTTTCGGCTGCTGCAGTTTCATTTGTATTTAGGGGAGATTTAATCCGTGCAGTTTAGGTGGAAAACAAAAGTCTTAGGGGAAGCAGGAAGTCGACACAATGGTCATCCATCTCAGGAAACTTCCCACAAACTGAATGCCATTCGGCTTTAGATTAAAATTGTACCAACGTCCAATTTATAAGTTTTATTTTGGAGGGTGGGGTGTGGGGTTGGGAAAATACCATGCCTAGAACCTCAAATGGATGTTTTAAAATTGCATTACACAAGAATTGGATAGATGTGATTTTTAAAAGCAGAAACAACTTGAAAGTGGACGTTAGATCTGTCCTGAGATGGCAAAAGTCTGCCTGAGTGAAGGCAGAACAGACCTAAACTCAGTGAAGACACTGTAATCCTTCAGTCCAACTCTGGAAACCACAGTTGGCATTCACTGTAAGAATGGGGGTGGGGGGGTAATCCTTCCAGAAAGACTGTTCCAGGCCTGATCCAAATAAAGGCAAGTTATATACTCACTCAAGAACCCCTTTTACGTGTGAGGGGTTTGATAAAGGATCAGCTTTTTAAAGTCTATCATGGAGAATTAAATGCAAAGGAAAAAGTAGCCAGAAACAGATTGGTTCCCATGATCATCTCAAGCCAAGTTCTCTTTCTTTCTTTCTTTCTTTCTTTCTTTCTTTCTTTCTTTCTTTCTTTCTTTCTTTCTTTCTTTCTTTCCTTCCTTCCTTCCTTCCTTCCTTCCTTCCTTCCTTCCTTCCTTCCTTCCTTCCTTCCTTCTTTCTCTTTCTTTCTCTCTCCCCCCCCTCTCTCTCTCTCTCTCTTTCTCTGTCCCTCTGTCCCCCCCTCTCTCTCCACATTTTCACTACTGATTGTTGAACTTAGTGGGGGAAAATTTGTACTAGGTTTTCAGGAAGCTCAGAGACAGCATTTACAGGCTTATATGCCTTCATTTAAAATGGACTCCTTTCTATTAAGCTGCTGGATGTTGCTGATTCTTGCAGTGGTTATTTCAAACGGGGCTCTGCAAAACAGACTTGGTAACTCTGTTGGGGAAAAAGAAAATTAAATAAAAGGGAGGGAGCAGAGAGAGAGAAAGTGAAAGAGAAAAGATTGTGGGCCATTATTTTACTGTGAATCAGATGGAAATGGTTATAACTTATAATACTCTTTTTTAAAAAACATAGGCAAAAGGAAACCTACAAAATGAAGGGTCCATAAAATGATGATTATATATTTGGCCTGCAAAGAATGTATAGAGAAATTGCTTCATTTTAAACTTCTTTTAAGCATCTGTCTTGCCAATTTACAAATCAGCTTTATTAATTCCCCCAGACTACTAAACATTGTGTATCTATGCCATAAAAACACCTGCCAGCATCCCAGCATAGAAAATGCAGCGTTTCCCTTTTTAAAAAGTTTGTTGTTGAGGTAATTGTTGTTATTATTGTTATTTCATTGACCAAGACCAGCAAAGCCTTGAACAAATAGAGATATGTACTCAGGATTGTGGCTAATAGTTGACTCACTTACAAATGTAACAAAAATGGTTAAATTATTAAAGCCAAACCGGTTTCTATTGAAAAGCCATCAGTAAGCAAGTATGGATTATTTGAATTATTTATTCAAAACTATATAGTTGGGATGTCTGTTTATGGGAACATCTTCTTTCTGGTGGGATCTCTCAGATGAGTGGGAGATACAGAAAAATATCTAACTGAAGTATTTCAGATAGCATTAGAGGGAATCCCCACCCCTTGCACTTTTATGTTGAACTGAGGTTGGATAAAAGAGGTTTTACAATTCTTTCAAGCCTCATGAAAGAGCGTTTGTCCTTTTTACAATCCTTTCAAAGGAGATGGACATTTTGGAGAAATTCCCTGAGATGATGTGATGTTTTTCCACATGCTTAGTGAGAGAGAGTAATTGAAGGCTATCTATGAATAGTCTGCTTTTTAAAAATTATTGTCTGTTTGGGGTTCAATGGAAAGCATTCAGAAGGGGCATCGGCTATAGGGCATCTGACACTTGTTTGCCATTAAGGCTTCATAGCCTCAATTGCCATCCTAACCTCCTTCCCACCCTCCCTCCCTCTTCTCTCTCTCTCTCCCTCTTTTTCTCTCTCCCTCCCTCTTTCTCTTCTGTCTGTCTGTCTGTCTGTCTGTCCTTCATCCGTCCATCCATCCACCCACCCACCTATCTATCCATCTGTCTATCTATCCGTCTATCCATCTATCATCTATCCAACTATCTACCTGGAACCACCTGAAGCCACCTGGATTTTAAGTGACCACCTCTAAATCAGGTGGAGAAGAGTTTCAAAAACACTTTTGATATCCATCTTTGAATAGTCAGAACTTTCTTCTGCTTCCTGGGTATTAGTTCTGTTGATTTTGTGGGCCTCTTTTTTGAGTCTTTGGTGTGTGCAACATTACACCATCAAGCATCTTCCTGCAGAGGAAAAGCTGGTGGACTCCTTGCTGCTTAGAACTTCTTTGTTTGCAGAGGCTTCACTAGCTGATTAGGTAACATCTTCAGTGTAAAGTTTGGGGCACGTGAAGAATCAACTGGAAAATAATTCTTATATTATACAAAACTCTTCTGTTGAGCAGGTAGGAGAATAAATAGGGAAGCCAGATGTCAGGGAAAAGTTGTCTGTTTTTAATAGCTGTGTAGGAGCCTGAATTCCATTTGTGTAGTTTTAATTACTCATACTGAAATTCTCTTTTTTGACCCAATTAACAAAGAAAGCTGTGAGAGCGGTTCCTTTTTCCACAAAGGGTTATTAACATTTAGAATGCAGTGAATCTGTTTCCAAACAAACATCATGACGAAATATACAAGTTTTGTGGAACCAGAGAGCATCTTTTTCTTTACATTTTGGGAAGTTCAGTGTCAAATCACACATTTGTATCTTTAAGACAATTATAATCTTAAAAATAAGCTTGAGGGAATCATTACAAGCTATCAGGCTGATCTTTTGAAAGTTTACTAGGAAGACAAACCCTGTTTGTAATGTAATAATTTAACAATATATTTGCATTTCAACTCAGGAGCTTCAGAAACTGGGGAGAGTTTCATACTGGGTGATTCAGAATACATCTGCGCTGTACCAGTATTTCATTTCACGAGGCAGGGCGACTCGACATGCAAGGATCTAAACGGATTAATCCGGATCTCTGGAGTGCATTCAAAAAGATCTAGAGGGTTGCATGACTAGAGACAATCATATTTCACAGATGATTTGTACAGTTTTAGTTACAGTTATCTTGAGGTTGTAGGCAAAAGCAGAAGAGAAAATCTAACATAGAATAGAATAGAAATAGAAATAGAAATAGAAATAGAAATAGAAATAGAAATAGAAATAGAAATAGAAATAATAGAAATAGAAATAGAGTGGAGTGGAGTGGAGTGGAGTGGAGTGGAATGGAATGGAATGGAATGGAATGGAATGGAATGGAATAGAATAGAATAGAATAGAATAGAATAGAATAGAATAGAATAGAATAGAAATAGAGTGGAGCGGAGTGGGCGGAGCGGAATGGAATGGAATGGAAATTTTGGAATTTTGGAATTTAGAACAGAACAGAACAGAACAAGAACAGAACAGAACAGAACAGAACAGAACAGAATAGAATAACTATTGTCAATTTGAATGTACACTAATTGGCATACATTAAAAATGAAATTTTGTTGCATACAGGGTAACCACCTCCAATTTTACCTTACATAAACATGACAAGATAAATAAACAAAAAATTATGTATATACCCACATATATTATACTGCACAGAGAAACAACCCAGTCTAGTTCGGATGTATACATGTTTATGGCGAGAAAAACGAATCTTGTGAGTTTACCAGACGGATGGCCTAGGGAACAAAGCTGTTACAGAATCTGGTAGTCCTGCTAGCAAGGAATCCCCAAAATCGATTGTCTCTGCAGGAGCGCTTCTGAGCATATGCAGAACTCTAGGATTTGGCCAATAGGTAGAACTGTAGAATTTGGTCTCCAGGACTCTAGGATTTGGCCAAGGAGTTCTCAGGTGAGGGAGCTGCCTTGACCTCTATCCTTTTCCTTCTGGTGAAGTGAATTTTAGGATTGGGATCCTTCAGGGCTCCAATGTACCCTCGAGTGGGGTGATGTTTCTTTGCCTGTCAAGCGCCTTTCATCAGCCTGTTATTTTTCTTTCTTCTCAAGGTGAGACTAGAAAGACAAACTGAAAATTTCCCCGTTCTCTTTAGATCGGAAGAGAGCAGCTGGTCAGGAAAGCTGCCTCATTAAAGCTTGATCAGCCTGGCAGGAACATTGCCTGCCCGCATCAGGGCGACGTTGGGGGAGAATGAAGAATGACTAGATCCTTTGCTTCCCCAATGCCTGCTTTATATTCTGTCTTAACTCCTCGGTTTCTTCTGCCTTCTTGAAATGAAGGTCCTTTTTTGGATGGTTCAAATCAAGATGGCCCTGGTCTCCCTTTTCCTGACTAGGCTGAATGTTTTTCTTGCCTGCCTCAGCCAGTTGTATTGCTTTCCCTGGCCTGGTTTGCATTTAATTATCCCCAATTGAATAAACCACCTTTGAGAAGGCTCAGCCTTTGCACTAAGGCCTAATCCACACAGCCTAATGCCTGGCGCTATGTTGGGAAACTGGAATGAGGGGGTCAAGAGAGGGCCTAGCTTGGAATCCATGCACCACTGCAAGCAGCATAAGCTTGATCTCCTCCAAGATCTCCGAAGCCTCATCTCAGCATTCCTAGGGGAAGGCAAGAAGTCTGGGGGAGATTCTTGTAAATACGTAGGTAGACCTTACTGACTTTTGCTATTCATGAGAGGCTCTGCTTGCTTGCATCTTTCAGACACCAAACTCACCTGGCTTTGCCAAGGCAGCATTGCAACCTCCTCTGTTTCTGTTTGTGAAGAATGACATCACAGGGCCTTGGCTGGGCCTTGCCCCAGTGTGTTCTGACCTAGGCTCCCTTAAAAAGCAGGAAGCAGAGTCTTGGTCCTGGCAAAACCCCTTTTATTTACACAACTGTGAATTCCTTTCATTCACAGTCAGCAGGGCCTGTCCAAACAGTTTTTCAAAGGAATATTTATCAACACAGACCTTATCTCGCTTGGAAAGCTGCCAGGTAACTAGTTTCCAAACGCAGGGCAAGGCAAAACTTGGTACAGAGTCTCTGGCATTCACGGACAGATCTTCCCACTCTTGAAACAACTGACCGAACTAATTGTTTCCTGCAAAAGCCCCCTCCCCATTCACTCCTCTTTTGCTTCCTATGGGAGGGGCCAAGCACCTCCAAGGTGTGGCGTTACTCCCAAATCGACCCTGCTTTCTTAGTTGTTCTTGTCTTCTGGAAGCTCTGCGCATGCGCACACTGGGAACAGGCTCCAGCTGTTCCTCTGCCTCGCTGCTGCCTAGCTCCCTCTCTGCCTCTTGACGCAGAGCCCTCGTCCGAGCTTTTCCCAGCCCCTAGGACTGGCCCATGTTCCTCCCCAACCTCCTCACTGTCTGACTCTCAGCTATCCCTCAGTGTCTGTGCTAGCACCGGGCAAGGTAAGCAAACCAACAATGAAAGTGATGCAAACCTGGTTTTAATGGTAGTTACTTGACAGCATCAGGTGAAAGTCAGACTGCTAGAGCAGATTAAAGTCGGAACTGAGGGCATCTGTCTCTCAGCTCGCTTTATACTGTCTTCTGTGTTCCGATTTCCTGATTGCTCTCAGCTGCTGTCTGAATCCGCCACAGAGGTGCTGTGCAAGCCCCTCCTTTGTTACGTCATCTGTCTGCACAGTTCTGTCAGCTTGCCATCAAGGTACGGGAATCCCGCTGTCCGCCTGCTCACAGCCTGACTCACCGAGCCCCACTAGCCATCTAGCACCAACATCTAAGTGACCTCACCGCATCTACCTTAGCCATGTTACCCCACCAACACCCGTGTTTATTGCCATTGTCTTCGGCATCACCTGTCGTCGTATTCAATGTTGCATGTCATATTCCTCTGGCTCGCCACATGTCCCGCCCCTCCGGTCCGTATGGTGTTGAGGGGAGCTGTGACACTCGACACTGACTCTGCTGCCAACTCCGCTGGTGGGCCAGAACACTGTGACCTTCAGAGATGACCTTGTCTGGGGAGGAAAAGAAAATGGCCGATCTCCCTTTGGCACATAGAGCTGAGTCTCCGCTGCTGCTGCTCCTCCTTAACCATGAATCATGTTTATGGCTGTTTGATTGTTTTATGAGAAAAGGGAACGATGCTCTTTGGGTGTGCAGAGTCTGGATTCGGTCCTTGGAGAAAGAGAGGGACAATGACAAGTCAGTTTTTTACCTGGTCCTGGCTGGCTGGGCTCTCTTTCCAGAAAAGAATTACCTTAGAGGAGCCAGTGCTCATCTGCCAAGAGACAAAATAATATACTTCCCTGGACATTTTTTAAAAAAACTCTCCCTTAACTGTTCTTCTTTTAAGTCTCCTTTGGTCTTGGGATTCCAGCCTCCAAGATCCCTTTTGCCTTTCCAGAAAGACAAAGTGCTGGAATACATCATTGGGGGATTAACTAATTTGTTAAGTACACCAAAGAACAGGATTCCCAACTGCAAGAATTTGCAGAATAGAAGGGAATTTTAAGTCGCCTCTGGGAACAGCCGGCTGCCTGTCTTGGCTCACCTTTCTAAAATCGCTTTTAAAATAATGACTAAAAAGAAAAGAGGGGGGGGGGAGGAGCAAAGCACAAGATGAATTATAATACAAATGCATACATTTCAAAGAAAAGAGAAACACACACAAAGAAGGTGCTTTTTAAAAAAAGAAAAAGTGGGGGGGGGAATACAACCAACAATATTGTGTTATCATTTTAAGAAACGTATAGTTCTCATCTAATGCAAATATACAGATTGTTCTCGATAACTGAGCCCAAAATTTCCATTGCTAAGTGAGACAGTTGCTAAGTGTCCCAGTTTACAACCTTTTTGCCACAGTTATTAAGCGAATCACTGCAGCTGCAAAGCAAATCTGACTTCCCCATTGACTCTGCTGGCTGGTAGGTTACAATTGGTGATTATATGACCCTGGGACATGCAATTGTCAAAAATACATAACTGGTTGCCAAGCATCTGAATTTTGATCGTTGTATAATTATCCTGCTTTTTAACACAGTATTGTGTATAAATGAGTCCCATATTATACTTGGCCATACGAATTCCATGCCTGCAGGTAATCTTCTCACTAGGTAGCAAGTAGGTAGGTCATGACCAGTGGGGGGTTTCAAATTTTTTTACTACTGGTTCTATGGGCGTGGCTTGGTGAGCGTGGCATGGTTTGGTGGGTGTGGCAGGGGAAGGATACTGTAAAATCTCCATTCCCTCCCCACTCCAGGGGAAGGTTACTGCAAAATCCCCATTTCCTCCCGATCAGATGGGACTCGGGAGGCAGAGAATAGATGGGGGTGGGGCCAGTCAGAATTTTTACTCCCAGTTTTCCGAACTACTCAAAATTTCCACTACCGGTTCTCCAGAACTGGTCAGAACCTGCTGAAACCCACCTCTGGTCCTGACTTACGATCATTCATTTAGTGACCGTTCAAATTTATAACAGCCCTGAAAAAAGTGACTTATGTCCATTTTTCAGATTTACGACCGTTGCGGCATCCCCGTGATCATGTGATCAAAATTCAGATGCTTGGCAACAAACTCGTATTTATGACATTTGCAGTGGTCCCTGGTTATGTGATCCGCTTTGGTGACCGTCTGACAACCAAAATCAATGAGGAAGCCAGATTCACTTAACAACCGTGTTACTCACTTAATGACTGCAGTGATTCACTTAGCCACTGTGGCAAGAAAAGTTATAAATGGGGCAAAACTCACTTAACAGCTGTCTTGCTTAACAATACACATTTTGGGTTCAATTGTAGTCGTAAATTGAGGAGCACCTGTAATTGGGTCTTCATCCATTGTGTGACTCTGCTCACCGTTCAGAAAGCTTGAACCCCTGCGTGTTTTCCTGGTCATAGGGGCAAGAGAGTAACTGAGCCAGTGATGAAATTCAATTTTTTTTACTACCGGTTCTGTGGGCATGGCTTGGTGGGCATGGCAGGGGAAGGATACTGCAAAGTCCTCATTCCCTCCCCACTCCTGGGAGAAGGATATTGCAAAATCTCCATTCCCACCACACTCTGGGGCCAACCAGAGGTGGTATTTGCTGGTTCTCCGAACTACTCAAAATTTCTGCTACCGGTTCTCCCGAACCTGTCAGAACCTGTTGGATTTCACCCCTGAACTGAGCCCACCCTGTTGGTATGGTGTCTTTGTCAACTGCTTGGTGTTTTAGTTGGTTGTGGGATGTATTTAGAATAGAACTGAATAACAGAATTGGAAGGGACCTTGGAGGTCCAACCCACAGTTCAAGCAGGAGATCCTCTACCGTTCCAGACAAATGGTTATCCAATCTCTTCTTAAAAACTTCCAGTGTTGGAGCATTTAAAACTTCTGGAGGCAAGTTGTTCCACTGATTAGTTGTTCTAACTGCCAGATTTATTTTCCACATTGTACTTTTTAAAAAACAAAAACAAATTATCAATCACCCAGAGCTGTGTTTGTGAGATGGGCAATCCTGGGGATGGAAACCCAAAGGACTATGTTGGCTTAACACAACAAGCCACAAGGAACTGCATTAACCATTGCCCTAAACCAGGGGTTTGCAACCTGCAGCTCTGGAGCCGCATGAGGCTCTTTCATCCCTCTGCTGCGGCTCCCTGTCGCTCAAAATATGCGTCACAACCACCAATGTGTGACACCTGCCGGCACGTGATTTATTGAGCTTTTTGACCCATCTTTTTTTTTTTCGGAGTTCAAAATGTTTTTGTTGCATGCAGAAATAAAAATGTGTTTTCTCTGTAGCAGGTCATTGATTTCAAAAATGCAGCACACAATAGGTTTTTTTAATGCATAGCATAAAGGTAAAAAGTGATGTCTGCAGTGTTATCTTCATTTTAGATGTCAAAAGGGTTTTGTGGCTCCCAGTGTTTTCTTTTCTGTGGGAAACGGGTCCAAATGGCTCTTTGAGTGTTTAAGGTTGCCGACCCCTGCCCTAAACCCGCATATAACCTCTTACGGAAATGCCTTTATGGATCATGATTTGGATCGGTGTGTTGTGTGAACACAGCTTCTGGGGAATTGACTGTTGAAGGGCCAAAGGCAGAAGGGAAGGCCTGGTGGCGCTGGCCTCTTGGGGGCACGTATAGCATCCTTGCCCCATCTCTGCCCTAGCTTCCCTTCCCCCTTTGCTCCAAGGGAATTAGAGACTCTGATCATTGCAGAAATCATTTACTGTACTGCTGTTCCCTGTTCCAGAATTCCATTTAAAATAGCACTATCGATTGGCTTCTTGAGTTGCAGTCAGTTAAATTTTGGTGTGCTCTGCAGGCATCCAGCTTCGATTACCGTCAGAAGTAGGAATTGCTGTAACTCTACAGCATATTAAAAATATTCTACACTACTATTTATCAGACAGCAAGTCAACTTCTTTTTGTTAAAAAAAAACAAGCACTAAGAAATCAGGCTGCCAGTCTTCAGTCTATTTTCTCTCATTAATCATTGAAATTATATGGTGCTTGGCCTCCGTCAGCATTTCCAGCTGTTGATACCATGAAATGGGTAAACCCCCTTAGTTTTATTTTCAATACCTGCTGGCTGATAAGTGGTTACATTGATTTAAATGTCTGCAGAACCCAAACAGAATGGACTAGTGACGATTAATGTTACTTGCTAATTGATGTAACTGGGTTTTTTTTTTTTTTGTATTTTCTACTTTAATTCTGAGGTTTGCGGAATTTGATTAAGCTAGCTCAGTTGTCTTCTTGTACTCCGTCCTTCTCTATCACTCTAGTTGTTATAGCTTTTTAGATGTCACTTTTATTTCATTGCATTGACATAGCGTTTTATATTAATGGTAGTGTCAACTCCGAGGCTGGCCTGACTAAGGCCATCTTTGAGGCTTCAGTGTTGCCACAATGGAGATGACGGATAGGGAGCAGGGGAATAGAGAGAGAGAATTGGGAGTTTGTAGACAAAGCAAAATCGTTTCTCCTGGGAATCAAGGACATTCCCATAGGTGGATGAAGAGAGGAGTGAAGTTACCAAGCAACCAGACAGCACCTCAATTGGACCATATGACCGATTGTTTGGAGAAAAAGGGGAAAACTTTTAATTAGGTGAAAACTGCGGGAACCTTTAGAGTCGGTTTTCACCAGTCTATGCCAATATAATATATCCAATAAAACTGTTCTTTGAGGAATCTACCTACCTCAGAGTTCTGTTTGCTATGGGTGTATTACTTGGAACCCTTACAGTTAGTGCTGTTTTCCCTGTTTTCCCTGATTTGATTATGTTTTAGTCTAGTCAGGTTTTATAGCAAAGATTGTGTATTGAATGGGCGGCAAATTAACAATTACGTATTGTATTTGTGCCACTCTATGATTCTGACAAAAATATCTGCCTCTCTATTGTTCAGTCTGTCCATCTGTTCTCTCCCACATTCACACATTCATCCACCATCCACCCACAACCCACTCTTTCTATCTAACTGTTGTGTAGCAGTTAAAGCATTAGGCTAGAAATCAGCAGACCACATGTTCTGGTTTCACCTTGGACACAAAGCCAGCTGGGCAACCTTGGCCCAGTCCTTTTCTCTCAGCCCTAGGAAAAAGGCAAGGGCAAACAACTTCTGGAAATGTTGCCTAGAAAACTGTAGGGACTTCTCCATGCAGTCTCTGAGAATTGGAAACAATTGAAAGAAAGTAAGAAAACCTACCTATCTACCGATAGATCAAGCAATTGATTAATCTCTCTCTCTCTATCATAGAATCATAGGGCTGGCAGGGACCTCAGAGATCTTCTAGTCCAACCCCCTGCTCAAAACCAGAGTCTTATACCATCTCAATCAAATGGTTGTCCAGTCTATTTTTGAAAACCTCCATTGATGGAGTACTCACAACCTTGGGAGACAAGCTATTCCATTGACTAATTGCTCTTGCGCTCAGAGCAATGTACAATATCTGTCTGTCTCTCTGCTTGCCTGCCTGCCTAAATACCTACCGTGTTTTCCCGAAAATAAGACCCTGTCTCATATTTTTTTGAAGCCCGAAATAAGCGCTTGGCCTTATTTTCGGGGAGATCTTATTATTTTGGGGCATGTGGAACAAGATTTTATTTATTTATTTATTGGTTCTATTTATATGCTGCCCTTTTCTGGGGACTCAGGGCAGCTTACAATGCATTAAGCAATAGCCTTCATACTTTTGTATATACCTGCTTAGTAGGGCTTTCGGGGGGCCCCTAAGCGGTGTTCTTTTTTTATACAAAGTCAGCTTATTACCCCCACAAACCGGGTCCTCATTTTTTACCTACCTCGAAAGGATGGAAGGCTGAGTCAACCTTGAGCCTGGTGAGATTTGAACTTGCAGTAATTGCAGGCAACTGGTGTTACTTAACAGTGCTTTAGTCTGCTGCGCCACCAAGGCTCCTCTTGCCGTCTTACCTGATTTTCATCTCTGTGTTTAAATATTTTCAGGGAGGGCTTATTTTCGGGGAGGCTTACTTTAGTGCATGTGCTCAAAAGCCCGATTGGGCTTATTATCAGGGGATGTCTTGTTTTCGGGGAAACAGGGTATCTATCATCTATCTATCTATCTATCTATCTATCTATCTATCTATCTATCTATCTATCTATCATCTATCTCACACTTCTTTTGAGAAAAGTTCCCTTTGGATGGGCTCCAGCATGAGTCCAAAGCTCTGAAAACTAACCCTCTGACTGACCCAGATTGGATCCTGCAACATTATTCTGGGATGACATCATCATCATCACCAGCATCACTATCTATCTATCTATCTATCTATCTATCTATCTACATCCCTCCCTCCCTCCCTCCCTCTTTTGACCACTCAAGAAATCTCTTGGTGGGAATTTTATCAACTGCTGCTTCAGGGTGCCATCCTTCTTAGCCTTTTGAAGTGCTCTTCACCCATACTTAATTTAGCAGAAAAAATGACACCGGCATGAAATTGGCTGCCCTCAATTACCAATCTCTCTGCTGTCTTTATTGCTTCTGTTCCTGGTCACTGCCAGTCATCTGATTTCCCTGCAAGATGAAGGGCGACAAAACCCAATTGATCCATGCACTTTTAAGTCTGTCATTGGAGGCCCTGAAATCAGGCGGGGAAATGCTACTTTCTCCCTGGTGCAGCTAAGGATGGGAGAAGCCTCTCTTACCCAAAGGTGCAGCGTGAAAGGCGGGCTCCTGGGGGAAAAGGTTGCCAAGGTATGAATGCACCGCGGTGAGGTGCAAACGAGGACACAGTCCACGTCTCTCTTGGTCTCTCACTGCAGTTGAGAGGGAAAAAAAGCATACCCACAAGTAGTAAAATCAAAGCGCTCTGAAATTGGTTCATAAAACAATTCTCCCTCTTTGGCCATTTGAAAGCAGAGACAGGCTTGAGTTGTGCATTCAACCTGAAGCAACAGATGGAATCAGTTCCCGGTGGTGAAGAAAGGATTGATGCCAAAGAAAATCCACAAATAGGATGGAAGGATGAGAACCAAAGAGAAAAGACGTGTCTTGTCTTAGGCCTCCAAAAACATCTGTTGACGCTCGGCTAAAATTATTACCTTCAAGGAAATGAGTTCCTCCCCCACCCCGTCCTTGTGTTTTTTGTTTTTTTAAAAAAACAAAATCCTGTCTCCTTGGGGTATTCTTTCTCCTTCCTTTTTTCCACACAACTCTCCCACGTATGCTGTGTGCTTGTAGAGACTGGAAACCAGGTCCTAGGAGGAAATACTCGGGGAACTAAATATATTCACTCTTGAGAAATGAAGATGAAGAGTGAACATACTTTGCGAGTCCCGTCTTCACCCCAAAGGACATTAATCTGCTCTCGGCTGTCATAGTGTGCTGGGAGTGAGGAAAGGCCGTGATTCATAGGAAGAGTCGTAATGGTATTAAAAATCTTGACTGGCGCTGATTGTGAGGGAGAGGGTGACTCCTGTTTTCTCCTCCAAGATAGTAAAAACCTGAGTCTGGCCTGAGTCTTTAAACCAGGGGTGTCCAACCTTGGAATTTAAAAACCTGTGGACTTCAACTCCTTGAATTCTGTGCTGAGGAATTTTGGGAGGTTTTAAAGTTGCCAAGGTTGAACATCACCCCTGCTTTAGATCTTTCCTTTCCTTTCCTTTCCTTTCCTTTCCTTTCCTTTCCTTTCCTTTCCTTTCCTTTCCTTTCCTTTCCTTTCTCCTTTCCTGTCCTTTCCTGTCCTTTCCTGTCCTGTCCTGTCCTGTCCTGTCCTTTCCTTTCCTTTCCTTCCCTTCCCTTCCCTTCCCTTCCCTTCCCTTCCCTTCCCTTTCCTTTCCTTTCCTTTCCTTTCCTTTCCTTTCCTTTCTCCTTTCCTTTCCTGTCCTTTCTCCTTTCCTGTCCTTTCCTGTCCTTTCTCCTTTCCTTTCCTTTCCTGTCCTGTCCTTTCCTTTCCTTTCCTTTCCTTTCCTTTCCTTTCCTTTCCTTTCCTTTCCTTTCCTTTCCTTTCCTTTCCTTTCCTTTCCTTCTTTCCCATTGCAGTTTTAGAGTGAGAAAAAAATCTCACCATTCTTGCTTCTACTAGGAATGGGATGATTGGGGTAAGTCCAGGATGCCTGCAGGGAGGGGCTTGCAAAAGTCAAGATGGCATCACATCCATGTGATTGAACCCTTGCAGTGGCTATAAAAAAAGGGGGGCTGTAGCAGTAACCTTGAGGAGCAGGAGGAAGAGCTGAAATTTGAGTCCAGGGTAGAAATGTAATTGGAGAAAACGTCTCAGGATTGACCTTTTCTAGTTCTCACAAAGATAAAGGGAGGAAGGGGAGGAAGCAGCATTCAGATTTTCAAAATTACTGTTAGTGTAAACCAATACAGCTAGTCCTCGACTTACGATTACGGTTCAAATGTTGAACCCAACATTTCTGTTGTTGAGCGCGGCAGTTGTTACGGGAGTTTTGCCTCCTTTTATGACCTTTCTTGCCACCATGAATCACTGCAGGTGTTAAGTTAATAACACGTTTGTAAAGTGAATCTGCCTTCCATATTGACTTTGTTGTCAGAAGGTCACAAAAGGGGGTCACATGATCCTGAGACTGTCACAAATACAGGCCAGTTCCAGGAGTCCAAATTCTGATCACGTGACATGGTCATCAATGTGAAAAGCGGTCATAAGTCACTTTTTTGGTATCTTTGAATGGTCACTAAAGGAATGGTTGCAAGTTGAGAACTACTTGTAGTAAAGAGTAGTATTAGGGCTTGTATCTTTGCTTTCAAGCCTGGTCTGCCTCAAAGAGCTGACATCAAGTTTGCACGTCTGAATGTGCCTCTCCATTACAAGATAGGGCTTGGATTGCATTGCATGATTGTGTGGCTGCCATTTTGACTTTATTTAACCCCAGAATAAAAGGGATGCAGTGGCTCAGTGGCTAAGACGTTGAGCTTGTCGATCGAAAGGTCGGCAGTTCAGCGGTTCGAATCCATAGTGCCGCATAACAGGATGAGCTCCCGTTACTTGTCCCAGCTTCTGCCAACCTAGCAGTTCGAAAGCCCGTAAAAAATGCAAGTAGAAAAATAGGGACCACCTTTGGTGGGAAGGGAACAGCGTTCTGTGCGCCTTTGGTGTTTAGTCACCCTGGGCACATGATCATGGAGACGTCTTCGGACAGCGCTGGCTCTTCGGCTTTGAAACAGAGATGAGCACCACCCCCTAGAGTCGGGAACAACTAGCACATATGTACGAGGGGAACCTTTACCTTTAACCCCAGTATGGGCATCCTTGGAAGAATCCCCCATATCTTTTTTGGGAAGGAGGTTTCAGGAGGTTGAGAAAGGCTTCCACTGGTGCTTCTGGCAAGTCACTTTCTTGGCTAGCAAATCTTCTCTAGGCGGCTTAAAGAAATTTGCTGTTGCTCCACATTTTATTTTGTGTCAACCCTACAAGACAGATCACACCAGACTACTTTTGTTGAGAGTCACTGTAATATCAGAATTTTGTGCGCCTGATTGTGTTGCATCACCATCACCACCTTCTCCTCCTCCTCCTTATACCCATGTGAGTTAGGGAGGGGGTCCCTCTGAGCTGCTTCTGCATACTTACTGCTTACTTTGGACTTAAGCCATGTTCTTTCCACTTGTTGCTTTGGTAACAGATCTGGGCTATCTCTATCAAGGTCATTGTCTTTATACTGTAGTGCAACAGCTTTATACTGTAGTTTAAGCAGCTATCCATTCCGGCTTGCCTTATCAGTTCATTGCTTTGGCATGTGCTGCTGAATGCACTTTGAGCACCACCCAGACTGGGATCCTCTCTTTAGAAATGTATTGCTTTCAGTTTATTAATTGCATCTTTATGGTTCCTAATGTAGTTTATCAATCACGTCTCTACAGTTCCAAATGTGAGACTTTGCAGAAAAAGTGGTCACTGCATCAACTGCTGAAGAAAAAGCAGTGACTGTGAGAGGGATCACAGTGGATCCCTCTCACAGTGGACAACCAGCTAAATATGAGCCAACAGTGTGCAACGGCAGCCAAAAAAGCCAATGAAATCCTAAACTGCATTAACAGAGGGATATAATCAAGATCAAGTGAGGTACTAATACCACTCTATAAAGCCCTAGTAAGACCACACCTAGAGTACTGCATCCAGTTTTGGTCACTATAAACAAGATGTTGAGACTTTAGAAAGAGTGCAGAGAAAAGCAAAAAGGATGATTAAGGGATTGGAAGCTAAAACATAGAAAGAACGGTTGCAGGAACTGGGCATGGCTGGTCTAGTGAAGAGAAGGACCAGGGGAGACATGATACAAGTCTTCCAATATTTGAGGGGCTGCCACAGAGAGGAGGGGGTCAAGCTATTTTCCAAAGCACCTGAAGGCCAGACAAGGAACAATGGATGGAAACTGACCAAGGAGAGATTCAACCTAGAAATGAGGAGGAACTTTCTGACAGTGAGAACAATCCACCCCTGGAACAGAAGTTGCCTTCAGAAGTTGTGGGAGCTTCATCACTGGAAACTTTCAAGAAAAGTTTGGACTGCCATTTGTCAGAAATGGTGTGGGGTCCCCTGCTTGAGTGGGGGTGGGGGTTGGGTTGGACAAGATGACCTATAAGGTCCCTTCCAACTCTGTTAATCTGATCTAAAATTGTCGCTGCAAGGAAAATTTGAGCTTCAGAGAAGTCTAAGTACTGAGCATTACGTGACACTCACCTCCAAAAGTTTGTGGATCCATGGCTTTCCTTTTTTGCTTGGGGTTGACCCCCTTTGGTTTTCATAGACTCATAGGGCTACAAGGGACCTCAGAGGTCTTCTAGTCTAACCCCTTGCTCAAGGCAGGAGTCTTACACCAGTCAAATGGTTGCCCAGTCTATTTTTCTCCAGTGGTACCAACATTTCCAGACAATGTA